TTATAAGGAACCTCGGACTACAAAAAGGGTACAAGGGTACTACTGGGCATCCTAGATGCTTATGGGTGGCCGTATAGGGGTTTAGGTGGCATTGTCTTCGCCTTCAAAATAGGAGTCGAAGGATGAAGCCGATGAAACGGACCCGATGACGTAGGAGGAGGCGGAGTCTCCGGGGCCTGCTCGAGACCCTCTTCCATTCCTGCTCGTCAATCACGATCACTTCCGATTGCTCTTCCACAGCCTGAAACGGAGCCGTCTCCGGACGGCGCACACTGGTCGCCCTTGTCCTTGTTGTCGCGTGGGTTTCTCCATGCACCCCAGGCTTCGTCGCTGGAGTCGGAGGATGGCACCTCCACGGCCTGAGCAGCTTGTGCAGGCACCTGACATGATACGTCATTCTTCTATAGTAATAAGGTAAGCCACAATTCTGCAAGAATTACTGTGGCCAAAGAAACCTCTGCCTTCACAGGGCTTTAGAATCGGGAGCGGGGCTAGGTTTAGGGTTTAGGGTTCAGGGTTTAGCAAGCCATCATCGGAGATGATCAAATACCCAAGCTAGGAGCATCCCCAGTACCATAAAGTTTTCAAGCCTAAGACCCTCATTAGGAAACCCAGAACCCGAAAAGGCCCCCTAAACCCAAGCCCGAAAACTCCAAAACTCCCAAACCCGAAATCCCGAAAAAGGAGTTGGCCTTCAACGTTGTCGGCTTCGAGAGAAACAAGCAACAGGCTGGCTCAGAGCTAGATTCAACGCCGAGGGCTTTGGGTTGATGGCTGAGGGTAATTGTGATTTTGGGTTGGGGGCTTTGGGTTCGTCCCTGCACTCTACATCCTAAACACGAAATCCCTAAACTCTAAACCCAATCCCCTGAACCCTAAACCCTAAACTCTAAACTCTAAACTGCATGGGGTTGATGTTCGATTTCTGAGACCGCCATTGAAACGTGGTAGGAACCCAAAGAAGACTTGATGCTAACCTTAACCCGACCAACCTACCTTTTTAGGGTTCCTTATTTTGGTTTCTGTATATAGGTCCTTAAAAATGTAGGTTCTTCGGTGTTAAGGAAGGGTTTAGGGTGTAGGGTTCCTCAATTATGCCTTGAACTCCCAAAACCTGCTTGTTTGTAGGGTCCGTATAAATTCTATAGTTAGGCTTCATATTGGAGGTTGCTTTGGGGTTCCTTAATTCCAAAACCCTAAAAAAAAACCTACTCCTTAAACCCTAAACCCTAAACCGTTGCGGACGTCTCTGAAATGGGAGTTTCCGAAAATAGGGGTACCTTATTTAGGGGTCCTTATAACAAGGATCCTACTATTTGGGGTGCTGTACTGGACCCAAGAGTAACCTAGGAATAAAAAGGGTGCCCTTTTTGGTTTAAAGGGGCTTATAAGGGAGCCTGAACCCTAAAAAAGGGAATAAAGGCCTACTCTAGGTCCTAGTATATTAGGGTCCCCTATTTTCGGAAACTCCCAAATCTGGGACTCCGCGCCAATCCTCTTTGGTGCGCTTGCCCTTCTTCCCAGCTCCGGGAGGCGCCCCAACCTTGCGCTGCTTCTAAACCCCCTAGACCCAAGAGTAGCCTAGGAATAAAAAGGGTGCCCTTTTTGGGTTAAAGGGGGCTTATAAGGGAACCTAAACCCTAAAAAAGGGAATAAGGGCCTACTCTGGGTCCTAGTGTTTGGGAGGTTTACCTGTGACCCCAAACCCCACAAAATAGTAGCTTATGACCCTTTAATTAGAGGATGATTTCGGGTTCACGCTTTTTTGGTTTCCGGGCTCGTGATCTGGAGGTGCCACCATTCCTGTCGTTTTGTGCCCTGTTCTGGGGTGTCTTCAGCGCACCTGCCTGTCGCGATTAGGTGCTTGGGTAGACAGCATGGGAAGACACAAAAAACTCCTGAACGCTGACCCGCCTGGAAATCGACTTCCTCGACCTTCGGTGCACAGCAACTGCAGCCCATGCTGACAGAGACCTCCCTCTCGATCAAATCGCCGGTGACATTGTAGCGAACGCCGCAGCACCACATGTTCGAAACACGGATGACGGTGCTCATCCTCACCCGTCGGAAGGGTGCGTTCGCCTCCTCCAGAGCTTCCTCGAAAGAAAGAGGGGCCAAAGACGCCAAGGGAGCTGGTAGCTGAGCACTTGAGGAAGCCGCCATGTGGCGGTCATCCCTCACGGCGCCGTCACCATCCATATCTCCGATGGGGCCCGGATGCATAACTGGTGGAGGCGCTGGCGGTGCCTCATTCGCCGCCTCCTGAATGAGTCGGCGCTGCACTTCTCGCTCTTCCTGCCGCTGCGCGGCGCAGGCGAAGTCGCTCGTGTGCCTCCACTTGGCTTGTGGCAAAGCTTTGTGCTTCCGTGAATGCCCTGGCCTTCGGAGAGATGGACATGGGTGCTTCGGCGGGAATGTCCAGGAGATCGTGCACGTGCACCTCGCGTCACCACGCCGGGTGGAGGAAGAATCCCAGAAAGTTGTAGATCTGGTCTGGGCCAGTGTCGTGTTTGTCCAGCCACTCAAGGTTTAGGGTATAGAGTATAGGGTTCAGGGTGTAGGGTATAGGGTTTAGGGTTTTAAGGTATAGAGTTCACGGTTTGGGGTGTAGGGTTTAGGGTTTTAGGGTATAGACTAGGCTATAGGGTTTAGGGTTTAGGGAGGCGCCCCGACGTTGCGCTGCTTTAAAACCCCTGTTTGAGAAGGTTTCTTTGCAGTGGGACTACCCTTAGGGTTTAGGGGTTTAGGCTTTAGCTCTTTAGCGTTTAGGGTTTAGGGTGAGATGTGGGGGGCCTTAATGACTGGCATAGGGTTCCTTTTAAGGTGAAAGGGGTCCCACCAGGATCACTACAAAGGGGTATGATGGCAGCCTCATGTAGAAACCGCAATAATTAGAATCGGGCTTCGGGCTCTTTTACAGTCTAGTTAGTGAAATTGCAAAAAAAAATCAGGAAGCCTACATAACCCCAAGGGTCCAAAGAACCCAATAATAAGGTACTCGGTTTTAGGATAGTAGTTATGTAGGTTAGGATTCTGGAGAGTATGTGATTATTGGGTACTTGGACCCTTGGGGTAAGGCATACCATTGGCAATTATTTGAGTCTTCTCTATTTGGCCCCAAGAAGCCTCTAAACCCTAAACCCAAAGCCCCTCAGCCCTGAAACCGAAACCCCTAAACCCCTGAACCCCCAAGCCGCTACACCCAAAGCCCCTAAACCCTATAAACCCCTAAACCTCCCTTCTTCAACAACCGGGCCCCAAAAAGTAAAACTTTCTAAGATAGAGCTGGTATATAAGGCCAAACAGTTTGAAGTTCCCCCGTTCACTATCTAAGAAACCGCCTTCATTTACGTTTCGCCGTTTTGGCGGTCGGGCTTGGCTTGGGGCAAGTTGTGGGGCGGCTGCTATAGTTTAGTGAGGGCCTTATCGTCGAATAAGATCTCTTGGAGCTCCGTTAAAGGGCGCTCAAAGGGTTTAGGGTTTAGGTTTTAAGGGTGATAAGGTTTTAGGGACTTCGACCATCTAGGATACCCAGTAACCTTTTATAAGGAACCTAGGACTACAAAAAGGGAATAAGGGTACTACTGGGCATCCTAGCCATAGTTTAGGAAAGGCCTTACAGGGAACTCCAGAAAGTTGGAATATGGTTTCATGGTAGGATACCCTATAATTTACCATAGAAGGGTTAGGATAATCATATTCCAACTTTCTGGCTTTTACCTTAATAGAATAGAGGGCCTTGAAGGGCTCCTGTAATGGGTTCCATCAGGACTTAGAGTTTTGGGGCCTACCAGAGGGGTCTTAAGAATTGGAAGGAGTAGGCTTACGTGGTATGGTGTACTAAACCCTAAACCCTAAACCCTAAACCCTAAACCCTAAACCCAAGGACGAACAAAACGAAGGTTGGTTGAGGGTTTGAAGTTTACGATTCAGGGTTGAAGTACCCTAAACCCTAAAACTTCCTTAAGCCGGAATAACCTACCTTTTAAGGACTTATATAAGGACATCATAAGAAGGGACCCTAGAAAGGGTAAGTTATTCAGGGTTCAGGTATTTTTTGTTTTAAGGCTTGCAGGTTTGGGGTTGAAGATTTTGGCATCGATGATCATAACGGCCAACATGTTTTGCGACAAGTGTCCCGTCATTTTGGTTGCAGGTTGCGTCGGCCACAAGAGTTTAGGGTGCAGGATTTCCATTCTGATATCAAAGCACCTGTTTTCGAGCAGTGCTTGCCGTGCCGCGTTCCCAAGGCGCTAAGTTGAAACAAAGTCCCGACTGCCTGGAGTACACTCTTGCACCCAAACCCTACGCCCCCTGCCCCCGTACAAACCCGAACCCTAAAACTTAAACCCCAAACCCTCAGACATCCCTTTTGTAGAACCGTACGAACTCTACCCCCCGAATGCGAACCCTCAAAATTAAACCCCAAACCCTCAAACATCACTTTTCTAGAACCCATTGGGGAACCATCAAAGCAAGAAGTGATCCGAGGACGCGACAGCCACCGCCACCTTCCAGTTCTCTTGCGCATCCTCTCGTTCGGAGGGGAGGGTGTAGGGTTCAAGGTTATCAGTCGAAGATTGAATGAACAAGTGAGTACCATGTGTTAGGGCTCCATCAGTCATTGTGCGATGATATAATCCCCCGTACCCTATTCTGACTGTCCAGGCCCCATATAGAAAGGTTCTTTATGAAGGGCTGAAGAAGCCTGCGATAGAGTTTAGATGTAGGGGTTTAGGGCTTGGGTTTGGGGTCCTACCGTCGAAAAGTTTGGGTTACAGCTGAGGCTGTCGGGTTGTGGACTGGCCTAGGAGAAAGGTTTAGGAAGTTTTGGGTTTAGGGTTGCGTGTTTAGGGTTTGGGGAGGGTTGAGGAAGAAAGGAAAATGTACTCCTAAACCCCGAAAAACTCCAAAACCCCTAAACAGCTAGGCCTCACTACTTTAGGTTTTCGAACCCCTAAAGCCCTAAAACCCTAAACTTAACCTTTCTGCGCCATCGCTCAATCGGGTTCAGCACCAGCGATCCCCAGGTTTCTGGCCAAGTCAAGATGGGCGCCAGCCTCCAGTAGAGATTCCTTAGTTGGTTTAGGGTTTATAGAGTTTCCTTAGTTGGTTTAGGCGTTAGCGCTTGGGGTTCAGGGTTTAGGGGTTTAGGGTTTAGGGCTTGGGGTTCAAACTCAGGTTTTTAATTTCCTTCGTTGGTGTAGGGTTTAGCGGCTTAGGCCTTGGGAAAAATATCCGGGTTTAGGGTTAGAAGACTTTCCTTAGTTGGTTTAGGCGTTAGCGCTTGGGATTCAGGGTTTAGGGTTAGTAGACCTTCCTTAACTTAGTTGGATTAGGGTTTAGGGTTAGAAGAGTTTCCTTAGCTGGTTCAGGGTTTAGGGTTAACCCGTTCCCCCATGCACTACCAAGAACCAGGAAGTTTTGCATTTCGAGAGCTAAGCGGATTTGGGTTTAGGGTTTAGTTAGTTCATAAGCCCCAAAACTTGTAAACTTTCAGGGCCGACGGGACTGCATTATCCGAAAAAAGCGCAGAGTATGACTGCCAGCTACTAAGTACTCTAAACCCAAAACCCTACGCCCTACACCCTAAACCCCAAACCTACTAAGTCTCTGCAACTTCAATAGCGCCATCGTCCGAGAGGTCTCTCAGAGCACCCGCCTGAAGTAGCCTGAGTTGTCCTTTAAGCCCTTTGAAAACTATTTCCTCCTAGGGCCTAGGGTTCTCTACAAAATAGTGAGAAAATTACAGAAGATGCCAACCCAGTATCCCATATAAACCCCCGTATAATGAAGCCCAATAAGGTAGGGATATCCCTATAAAACGCTTAGAAAAGATCCCAAAGGACAACCTAGTATAGAAACCCTTAGGGATCCCTTTCAAGGAATTATGGTTCTCTACAAAATAGTAGGGGAAAATTAAAAAAAATCCCAAAGGACAACCCAGTAGCTGGATCGCGATCCTCCGATGCCGTCGGTAAGCTGCATAGTGCAGAGCCTGCCCTGGGCTTGCTTTGCTTCGTTTAGGGCCAAGTTTAGGGTTTGGGGTTGAGGGTTTTAGGTTTTAAGACCCCTAGGGTTTAAGGTTTTGGGGCTTAGGGTTGAGGGATTATAGGGTTTAGGGTTGAGGGCTTTAGGTTTTAGGGTTTAGGGTCTAGGAGTTTAGGATTTTAGGGTTTGGGATTTAGGTTTGAAGGTTTTAGGGTGTTAGGGTTTGGGGTTTAGGGTTTAGGGTTAGGGTCCGGGGAGGGTTTCGGGTTTAGGGCTGCGTTTAAGCTGCCATAGCGAGTTTGGGGTTTAGGGCTCCTATGCTCCCCTTCATTTGCCTACTTGTCGGGTATCATGGGGAAATAAAGGCTAACTTTTGGGTTATATAGGGATTATACAGGGACTATGCTACCCAAAAAGGTTAAAGGTTGCCTACTCTACTACTAGGTTTGCCATAGTAAGGGAAACCTTTCCTGCGTTACAGCTGCCCATCACAATGCCTTAACGACTTAGATTGCTATGGGGGCCTATTGCATAGGGGGCTAAATGATGACCAAGAATATTCTCTTCCATGTCTTTGCTTTAAGAAGCTTTAAAGCAGCCCCAAACCCTGTTCTAATTTTCAGGCTCCTACATGAAGCTCTTTAGCAAGAAGCCTGAATCCCAAACCCGAGACCTCTGTAGTGGAGGTCATAAAGTTCCAGCATACCTAAAATACCCCCAAAAGTAAGTAAAATGATAGCCCACGCGCTATAAAACGCCATTCTTCTACATACTTTTGGGGTCCAGCATATAGACAGAAAGGGCTTCTGCCTGCGGTTTCCCTTTAAACATGCCCAACCCTGAATCCCTCCACTGCTACTCTTCCTGATCCTCAACACCCACAAATTCCTAAGCCCCGAGCCCGGGAGCGTCCTAAAGACCTACCATAATAGCGACCTCGAAAAATTTCAAGCTCCTCCTTGTCCAGTGCCTACGGGAAGTAAAGGTTAACCTTCTGGATTATATAGGGATATATCGTACCCCTAAAGCGTTAAGGGTTACCTAGTCTACTACTAACGCTTTACTTGAGTGGGTTTGGAATCTCAACCCTGAACCACAGACAAACCCTAAAACCCTAAACCCTAAACCCTAAAACCCTAAATCCTAAACCCTTAAAACCGTAAACCCTAAAACCGTAAACCCTAAAACCCTAAGCTCTGTGTAAGCGAGAGTCTGCCCCGACCATCCGGCAAGCTCGGGTTGGCCAGCGCCTGATACTTAAAGGACAGTTACTAAGTAGGGTTCCTATAAGGGCTCTTTTAAAGGGATCTTTAGGGTTCCTTAAAGGGATCTATAGGGTTTAGGGTTTAGGGTCTACTTAAAGGATCATGCGACGTAGTAACTCAAAATATAGTTAGAGTAACTACACTTAAAGGATCATGGGACTTAGTAGATAACTAAAAATATAGTTAGGGTAACTATACTGTACCTAAACCTACTTACAACCCCAATTAAGGTACTTATAACCTGACTTACTAAGTCCCATGATCCTCCAAGTAGACCCTAAACCCTAAACCCCATAGATCCCTTTAAGGAACCCTTTAGATCCCTTTAAGGAGCCCTTTCTTACTAAGTCCCATGATCCTCCAGTGTAAGCCAGAGCTTAGGAGCTTACTTGGAGGGGCCCTGAGGCTTCAGGGTTCCTTTAAGGGATTCCGTCAGGATTCTACGAGGGTTTTATACAGTACTCTGAGGCCCAGGGGACTGGGTAAGTAGGCTATAAGATTTGGGGTTTTAGGTTAGGATTTAGGGTTGCGAACCCTAGAAACTAGCTATCAGCCCGCTTGGCCCAAAACACATGTCATTTTGTCTACTAACCCCTGTGGAAAAACAGAAAGGAACATAATTCCTAAGGAACACCCAAGTAGTGCCCCTAAACCCTAAACCGGTGCCTCTAAGAGTAGATAAGCGATGCTTTCATGGCCGCGATAGGCGGCCCATTGCAGAGCAGTGCCGCCGTCCTCAAAGTTCTTGAAAGGAGCTCAGGGATTTCGGGTTTCTGGCTACCTATGCGTTCCTGTAGGAGGGCACCACAGGGCGTTTATTGGGTCTAACTACTTTTGTATTGGGCGTTGATGGGCTTCTAATTCTTGGGCTGGTGTCAAAAACTAGCTACTGTAATCGGTATATATATATATGTGTATATATATATATATACATATTTAGAATCATATGTTCCTTCTTTTGCTAGATTCAACGCCTTCAAAAGCACCCAGTCCTTGTCGGCTAAGTCGCGCTGAGCCCCAGAGGCTAAGAGCAACCGCGTCGTGTTGAAATGGCCTTGTCCAGACGACATAATTAGACTCGTCGATCCTTTTTTGCTGCATTTGGGACCCAAGGGTCTGGGGTTTAGGAGTTTAGGGTTTAGGATTTTAGGGTTTGGGATTTAGGGTTTAGAGTTGCAAAACCTTGAAAATGCACGGTGATCATAACCAAACATTAGGAAGTATTTCCAGGTACCTCGAAGGATCCAGCGTTGTCGGCCAGGTCTTTGTCAGCCCTTGCAAGCAGCAGATACTGTGCAACTTGAATGTGGCCCTTGCAACATGCAAGGTGGAGAGCTGTCGTGCTGTGCTTATCAACAACATTGACGTTGGCCCGCTCTCGCAACAGTAAGCAGAGAGTCTCCTGATCGCCAAGAAGGGATGCCCAATGGAGAGCTGTTCTCCCCCAAGTGTCCGCGGCCTCTTGGGCGGACCTTGCCTCAAGAAGCAATCGAACGGTCCTGGAGTAGCCGGAGCAAGCTGCCTCCAGAAACGCAGTCTTGCCCTCATTATCAACAGAATGTAGGTCCATGCCTGCGCGCAGCAGCAACTGTGCAACTTCTGTGTGGCCATAGTGAGCAGCCCAATGCAGAGCCGTTGTGCCATATCTGTCAGGAGCCGAGTTCTTCTCACCGTGCAACAACAAGCTGACGACCTCCTGTTGATGGACAAAATCCTGCATGACCCTAAGGACTCTAAAGTGTGGGAACTATGGTATATTCCTATTATAGTGGGTAATGCAGGAATTGGCAATCAACAGTCCTGATACCCTGCGGCAGTTGCGACGTGAAGGGCCGTAGCACCCTCGTAGTTGGCAAGACTCTGTTGGGCTCGGGCTGCCAGCAGGAGATGCACCTTAAACTACTGCTGATGGACAAAATCCTGCATTACCCATTATAAGGAAGATACCATAATTCCCATAGTTTGGAACCCTTAGGGTCATGCAGGATTTTGTCCATCAAAACTACCATAACCTGCTTTTTGGTAGGTTCTTATTGCAAATCCGATATGGGACCCTATCAAAAAAGTAGCTCTTGGTAGGTTCTTACTCTAGATAGCCTAATATGTAATATGGATTTTATAGGGACCCTGCAAAACAAAATGAGGTGTTTTGATAGGTTCAGGTGCTTCACTGGCCCAAAGCCCAAGAAAATAAAAGTTGAAACTTTCAGAATCGACTACCTTATAAGAACCCCAAAAGTTGAAAAGTTGTGTTTACAGCCAATAAGGTGCTGTTCTGGAGAACCCATTGGCCGAAGCCCAGATCAGCGCGGTGTCGCCCAGGTTGTCGGCGACATCCACACTCGCGCCGGCCCAAAGCAACAAAGCTACCATCTCCTCTCTTTAGGTGTTTACGGTGTTGGGGTTGTTGGTGGTTTTGGGGGTTTTGGGGGTTTTAGGGTTTCAGGGTTTTAGGGTTTTGGGTTTTAGAGTTTCTGGCTTTTGGGTTTTATGGTTTTTGGGGTTTTTTGGTTTTAGTGTTTTAGGGTTTTAGGGCTTAGGGTCCCCCAAAGGTACCCTCTCCTCATTACCCGTTTCTGCTGCATCGTGAAGAGGTGTCAGACCAAAAGCATCCGGCACGCTTGCTGCTGCCCGGGCTTGCAAAAGGAATTGCGCGATCTCAAATTGACCCTCAGAACATGCATAATGCAAGGCTGCCCCCGGATGCGCATGTTCTACTTCCGGCACGCAATTGATCTCGGCTCGGGCAGTCAGCAAGAGCCTCACGACCTCCAAGTGACCTTGGCTCGCTGCTTGTCCGAGGGCGTGGCAGCCATCCACATCTGTTGCTTTTACGTCTGCCCGAGCCTCCAATAGTAAACGTGCCGTATCCAACAGGCCATCTTCACATGCCCATATAAGCGCCGTTGCACCGTCTCCGTCAGGAGCATTGACCTGAGTTGTCTGTTAAACCCGTTTACTATTATGGTTCTCTACAAAATAGTAGGGGGAATTTAAAAAAAGATCCCAAAGGACAACCCAGTCACATTGGCCCGGGCCTCCAACAAAAGTGAAGTGACCTCCATGTTGCCCCACAAGCCGGCTGCCAAGGACAGTGGAGTCTGTCCTGTTGGCCCTGTCTGATGATCTGGATCTAGGGGAAGCTGCAGATAGCTCTCCACCTCGCTTACTTGCGACAGTCCTGAAGGACGAAATGAATGCAAAAGGAACCGGGGGGGGGACTATGGAACCTTAGAGAGACTATTTACGGTTCTTTTTGGTCCCAATGGGTCGTATGGCATTGGCGAAGTCCATCATTTGTTGCTCAGAGGGGCTGAAGAAGTTCAGCGCAACCAGCTGCACTTCAGTGAGAGACTCCAGCACAGCATCATCCTGCCGGGAGTTAAAATACTGGGTTCTTGTCAAGGAACTTGATTCAAGTTGCCTCAACAAGGAAAACCATGGTTTTGGGTACCCAAAGACCTATACTAGGGACTACTTGCACGGAAGAGGGAGAACTTGGAAATCCCAACACATGCTGCTTGAAATCTCTGCTGAATTCATGTCGGGCCTCAATGGTTAGGACAGGGTTGCGGGGGTATCGAATAACGGCTTTAGGGTTCAGGTTTAGGCTTCCTTTTTAAGGGCCGTTCTTCGTCTGTAAGGTTTAGGGTTTAGGCTTGAAAGTTTAGCCGCTTCTTCGGGTCCCTGACAAGTTGTTGCTCCAAGCGGTCCTTGAGTTCGATTCCCTGGTGCAAAACTCTTTGCCTGAACCTCAGCAGGGTCGACAGGGTAGGATGAGGCTAGGATTACAGTAGGGTTTAGGGTTTAGGGCTCTGGTTTTAGGGAGGGTTTAGGATTTAGGGATGTTGGGTCCAGCGGTAATTCCAAATCAGGGTCCGAATATAAGGGACCCTTAATCCCACCTACGTTCAACCTGAATGCTGAGGCTCCTGAGAGACCCAAAACCCCTTAACGAAGGAATATACACCCTAAATTATAATTAGTAGGATCTGTAAAATGATTTCGGTAATGCTCCTTAATTCCCTTTCGGAACCCTTATAGATCCCTGTAAGGAACCCTTTTTGGGTATGTTTCGTAACTAAATAGAACCCTTATGGATCCCTTTAAGGAACCCTTAGGTATATTTCTAAACTAAGTCTTCAGGCCCCTGGGAACCTCGGTAGTCCGCAAAAGCTTTGCAGGTGCCGCTTCAGCGATTGAACGTCCTTGATCTCGGAGTATTCCTGGGTCAAACAGAGACTCCAATTTTCCCCTGGATTATATTGGGATCTCTAGCATGATTTAAGGAATATTCCTTGGTCAAATAGAGGATCGGACTTAGTAAGTAGCGATTTTATAGACTTATAAGTACCATAACCCCAATTGGGGTCCCATGATCTCGGAGTATTCCTGGGTCAAATAGAGACTCCAACATCCCTGAATTGAGGAATACACCTTGGGATCCCTAAAATGATCTCGGAATATTCCTGGGTCAAATAGAGGATCGGACTTAGCAAGTAGTGATTTTATAAGTCGTCCTTGATCTCGGAGTATTCCTGGGTCAAACAGAGGATCGGACGTAGTAAGTAGTGATTTTATAGACTTATAAGTACCATAACCCCAATTGGGGTCCCATGATCTCGGAGTATTCCTGGGTCAAATAGAGACTCCAACATCCCTGAATTGAGGAATACACCTTGGGATCCCTAAAATGATCTCGGAATATTCCTGGGTCAAATAGAGGATCGGACTTAGCAAGTAGTGATTTTATAAGTCGTCCTTGATCTCGGAGTATTCCTGGGTCAAACAGAGGATCGGACGTAGTAAGTAGTGATTTTATAGACTTATAAGTACCATAACCCCAATTGGGGTCCCATGATCTCGGAGTATTCCTGGGTCAAATAGAGACTCCAACATCCCTGAATTGAGGAATACACCTTGGGATCCCTAATATGATCTCGGAATATTCCTGGGTCGAATAGAGGATCGGACTTAGTAAGTAGTGATTTTATAGACTTATGAGTACCATAACCCCAATGAGGGTCCCATAGATCTCGGAATATTCCTGGGTCAAATAGAGACTCCAACATCCCTTAATTGAGGAATGTACCCTGGATTATGTTGGGATCCCTAATATGGTTTAAGGAATATTCCTTGGAGGGACATAGTAAGTAGTGATTTTATCGACTTATATAAGTACCATAACCCCAAGTATGGTCCCATTTGAGGGAACCAATACCTCTATAAAATAACTGTTGAAAAGTCTACCGACCCTCCTAACTCTCAAAAAACGAAACCAAAGGACGTACATGGCGAACAACGACCCGAACAAGGTAACAAGTAGGGGTTTCGGCTTTCTTCAGGTTTAGGGTTGAGGGGTTGGGTTTAGGGTTTAGGGTTTAGGGTTTAGGGTTTAGGGTTTAGGGTTGAGGGTTGAGGGTTTAGGGTTTAGGGTTGAGGGTTTAGGGTTGAGGGTTTGGCGCGCCCAGATTCGTCCAGAGGCACAGAGGTCAGCTCCCTGCCCGAAATCCAGCGCACCACAAGACTTCTTTCAGAAGTTTCCAAGGGGCGTTTCGGCATGTCTCCCTTTTGGAGACTTGGCAGCCAGAAGCTGTGGGGGAGCTGAGCACAACAGGGTCCCGGACAGACTAAATCTGCCTGAAGTTGGTTACGAAAACCCAAAACCCTAAACAATACACTCGAAGACCATCTACGCCGACGGCTGCCTAAAAACCTCTGTTCCACGCCCGAGCTCTGCAACCGCCAAGCCATAGAAATACGAATCTGAACAAAGGCTCCTTGGTGGTTGTTATAAGGGTTCAAACCAGCATTCTACCCAGGTTGTATAAGGTTTCAATCAGCATTCTGCTAGGGTCCAACAAGAGTTCTACAAGGCTTGTGTAACAGCTCTATATGGGTTGCACACTCTCAACCCGTTATGAAATAGGAGTTTCCAGCATAAAATGGGATGGTTGAAGGTTCGGGGTTTCGGGTTTAGGGATTATCAAGTCGAAGGTTCAGGGCTTCGGGATTCGGGACCAAGTTTGAAGGTTCAGGGTTTCAGGTTTAGGGTTTAAGGTTGAAGGTTCAGGGTGTAGGGAATCGGGCTTAGGGTTCAGGATTTAGGGTTTCGGGTTCAGGATTGAAGGTTTAGGGCTTCAGGTTTAGAGTTCGGGGTTCGGTTTCGGTTTCAGGCTTGTGGTTCGGTAAGAATTTCGAGTCTTCGGTACCCTAATCCCTACACCATCCTAGACCCCAAGCCGAGATGCCCTGAAACTTACGGTTTAGGGTTTGGGGTTTAGGGTGTGGGGTTTGGGGTTTAGGCTATAACGCTGAACGCTATTCTTGGGGGCCAATTGTGTTACTCCGTCCCTCAACAGCGCCTCACACCCCATGACCCCATGGCCCACAAAACCCAAAGGCCACAAGCCCTGAAGCACCAGACCTGGAGTAGAAGCCCCGAAACTTGGAACATCGTTAGGGTCATGCCCTTAAAGTAAAGTAGGGAAACCCCGCATGAATCATCCTAAATCTTTGTTCCAAGTTTCGGGGGTTCCCTAAACCCTAAACCCTAAAAAAACTAAACCCTAAACCCTGAACCCCAAACCCTAAACCCTAAACCCCTAAACCCCTAAACCCCTAAACCCTAAAAAAGCCCTCAACCTGCACAGCCCTAGAGCCCTGGAGTGCAAAATTGACGCTCGCCCCTCCTCGGGAAGAAGGGAGCCCATCCTGTCAGGCGTAAAGAAGGCTACCCAGTATCTTAAGAACAAAAAAGCCTGTCTTTTTGGTATTGGGTAACTTTATAAGGAACCTAGGAGTACAAAAAAGGAATAAGGGTACTACTGGGCAGCTTCTTCTCAGGGTTTAATTTTGTTTAAGGGCCTCTTTTCTTTAGGGTCTAGGGTTTAGGGTTTCTTTCAGGGTTTAGGGTTCAGGGTTCAGGGTTTACGGTTTAGGGTTTAGGGGTTTAGGGGTTTAGGGTTCAAGGTTTACGGTTTAGGGTTTAGGGTCTAGAATTTGTTTTTGACCAAGTTTATGGCTCATTTTGCAAGGTTCAGAGCTTAAGGTTCAGAGGCGTTGAAGCACCTGAAGCAGGGATCCCCTCAGATTCGGGGTTTACCACCCGAAACCCAAAAGACCTAATTTTCTAAGGGGTGCTAAACCGGCTTCACAACATCGTGACTAGTGAGCCCAAAATTCGAACCATCATGGGCGAATATGGCGCCCTTATGGTGTCGGCTTGCCTGTACCCCGGAGACTTACTGCTTCCACTAGGTGATTGAAAGGTGGGCTCGAGAACGGAACCCTGAAACCATTAACTAGTATCCTTGTGAGTTTGGTGGATTTAGAGTGCCAGACCCTGTACACTAAACCCCGAACCCAAAGCCCTAAACCCTAAGCCCTAAGCCCTAAACACCAAACCCTAAACCCTAAACCCGAAACCTGAACCGAGCATCGCAAGGCTGAGGGATTTACCAAAATTTAGGGAGACCCTGCACCCTGGAGGTCCGCCCAAAGAGCCCCAGGGTTGAGGGTTTATGAGGGTTTAGAAATGACGGGGTTTGCTTACCGTGGCGACTTAAACTAAGTTCCTTAAACCCTAAACCCTAAGCCCTAAACTTAAACCCTAAACCCTTAACTTAAACCCTAGCCCCTAAACCCTAAACTTAAACCCCAAACCGTAACCCCTAAACCCTAAACTTAAACCCCAAACCCTTAAACCCTTAACTTAAACCCTAGACCCTAAACCCTAAACTTAAACCCCAAACCCTTAAACCTTTTAAGGGAACCCGGTTAACAACAGAGATTCGGCTGAAGGCTCTTGGCTCAGGCTCTCGGGCTTAGGGTTCAGACTTTGGGTTTTTTTAGAACACCCAGAGACTCCAATATCCCTTAATTAAGGAATATATACCTTAAATCTTATTAGGGATCCTACTATAATTTAAGTAAGGTATATTCCATAATTTAGGTATATTGGAGTCTCTGGGCAGTTCGGTTTGAGGTTTGGGGCGTAGGGTGTTAGGGTTTAAGGTGTTAGGGTTTGGGGCTTTGGGGTTTTAGGATTTAGGGGTTTAGGTTTGGGGCTTTAGGGTTTTAGGGTTTGGGGCTTTAGGGTTTTAGGGTTTCAGGGTTTAGATTTTTAGGGTTCAGGGTTTAAGGTTTAGGTTAAGGTCCGTAGGGAGCTTTGCACGCTTAGGCTGGTTCATCTTTTGGGGGCCTTAGTGATTACAGGGCTTCAGGGTTTTGGGTTTAGGGTTTAGGGTTTAGGGTTTAGGGTTTAGGGTTTTGGTACTAATGAAATAGGGAATCTTCAAGAATAACATTGGCAAATAAATATTGAGGCCTCTAAACTGCCATTTGGGCTCCTACATCATTGGTGGGTTTCCTTGGGCTCCAGCTTCTTGCATACGGTTTAGGGGGTAGGGTTTTGGGTTTAGTGGGTAGGGAAATCTTGGGCTCCGCATTCTTGACAATTTGCTGCGTGGTCCCTGCCGTCCCTCCCCAGAGCGAATACGTCTCGCCTCTGGGGTGCTCCCTGAAGTGCAATCAGAGAAGCCCTCAACATTAAACAGTGCCAGGCTGGCAACAGCATCACGCACATGACAGTCTTGTTACCAGTCCCATTAAACAATCTCATTATCTAAATTATAACTACTATTATATTTACTATTTCAGTGTGGCGCAGAAGCAGATAACCCTAAACCCTAAACCCGCGCAGAAGCAGATAACTATCTTCAGACGCCTATACCCTCTGTAGAAGGCTGCTACCCTGAGCCCGGAACCCTAAACTGGGTTGCTTAGCCGCACTTAGAACAAGAATCAAAACACTATTCTTATCAATCCCCTTACATTGTACAATAACTTATCTTATAATTACTTAAAATCGTTTGATTAATTTGATTAACTAAAATAGGTAAATTAATTACTAAGAGTAGTCACGGCTGAGGCTCCGGGAAGCTGCAGCCAAGATCTAAGCCCTCCCATCTCAGCCGCGGGCTGCCGCGCGACGCCAGCCACCTGGTCAACTCCACGATTACATCGGTTTGGGGTTTTAGTGCATTTAGGGTTTAGGGGTTTCGGGTTGAAGATCTGGCGAGGTTCAAGTTTAAGGTGCTGGGTTGAGGGTTTAAGGAAACAGGTTAATTAGGGCTTCCGGGCTCCCCCTGCTGCGATGGATGCGTCTGCATCCACGGTCCGAGTTCACGGCAAGGTTCGCTTCTCATCCTTGCCCGACCACTTAAAGGATCATGGGACTTAGTAACTAGGGTTATAATTAGGGTACCCATACTTATAACCCCAATTAGGATACTTATAACCTTACTTACTAAGTCCCATGATCCTCCAAGCAGGTTACTTCAGCCACGTCCGAGCCACACGTGCCTTGGACGAACCGTCTCCACAGCATGCGTACCAAGTCGTCACGGAGATTCCAAGTCGATGACACCCAAATCGGTCTAGGGTTCAGAGCATAAGACTTTTCATCGGAACATATATACTGCAAGCAACTAGAACAGCTTGGAAAGCTTTGAAAACCAGCTCTTAAGCCTCAGGAACATCCCCTCATGGCCGAACAGAAGTGGACCATAAACCACCAAAGCCTGTTTTTTGGTAGGGCTCCTTTCAACTCTATGTCGGGGTTCGAAAATCAGAACGTACCAGAAAAGTAGGTTACGGCACTCCAAGGCCCTAAACCCTAAACCTCAAAACCGAAACCCTAACCTTAAATCATAAGCCCTAAACCCCGAAGCTAAACCCTGAATCCGAAGCCCTAAACTCTAAACCCTACACCCTAGAATCCGAAAACCCTACATAGGGTAATATAGGAGACTGATGGAGAAACTTTGGGTCTATATTAGGGTTACAGTACCCTTATACGAATCCGAATGGATTGGGGTTATAGGGGCAGGGTTTCTGAATCAGGTTTCTACATTAGAACCCTACTATAGATCTATAGATCCCTCTTCGGCAGCGTTTAAAAGGCACCCTTAAAGGGAACCCGGTTCTAACTATTCAGGCCCCTTTTCTTAGGCAGCTGCGAGCCTGCTCGCAGAGCTCTCTGTTCGCCGTGAGGATCAACGTATCAGGCGCCTCGGGCTTAGGGTTTACCTAGAGGCTCCAAAGTAGTTCCTTTTTGGGGTTCATATATAGAATCCTATACGGTGATCCTTATAATGGAACTACTATGGAGCCTATGGGTAGGGTCGTAGGGGTTAGGGTCTCTGAGTTTAGAGCTGGGCTTGTAAGCAATTATCAGTATAGTTACCTTATGTATGACCCTAGTTGGCCCTGGTTACTAAGCCCATGACCCACTAAGTATGTCCCAGGATTCTAGCTTCAAAACCGGAAGGAAAAAGGCGGTTTAGGGATTAGAGCCACGGTTTAGGGTTTAGGGGTTTAGGGTTTCGGGTTTAGGGTCTAGGGCTTGGGGGTTTAGGGGAGAAGAGGGTGACTTTTCTAGATTCTTGGGATTAGGGTTCCTGTTGGGAGGGATTCTTTATTTACGGCTGGCTCATGGCGCTTTATGGCATGCACTGGGCAGTTCTAATTAATCAGCCTCCACATTATATATGGTCTTA